AAAATATGTTAGGCATGTGGGAGGTAACACTTCAGAATACTGAAATTTGTTCTCTTTTTATCAGTTAAAGGTGTAATTCAAAACATACTATGAATACGTTGGCTTTGTGAAGAGGGCATGCTAAGTCTAATGAAGACACTTTAAGTTTCTGGATAACTACTTTGCGACTGGAGCAAGGATTTTAGTTGTACTACAGATGGAGTGGGTGCTGAATTGAACAGAAACTCTGAAATTTTGTCTTGAAACCATTTGTGCTGTGATGTTGCTCTTTCTTCCTTCACTCCTCTTCATGGGACTTGTGCTACAGAACTTTCTGGGCAGTACACAAACTAAGCAGGATTTACGAGAGCATGTATCCCAAGTAACTTTGTTCATTCTCATGTTGAAGGACTGTTGCCTGTAGGATATCATAGATAAATGTCATGTTGGGTTCAAGTGTAAGGACCTGTGTTGTAGTATGAGTGTGTTTCATTTGAGTAATAATGCTGACATGTACTAGCTGAGGAAATTCAGAAATGTGCTGCCTTTAAGAGCCTTGATCGTCTTTGCATAAGGTATGGTTACTAGTCATACCAACTCCTGGGTTTCTTGTAAGCATACACGTGAGAACACATGAAATGCACGTTATTAGATAATGTAGTAAAGCACACAAATGGAGCACTAACAACTCCTGCCATTATCATTATTTTTTTAAATGTATTTATTTTTTGACAGAGATAGGGATCACAAGTAAGCAGAGAGGCAGGCAGAGAGAGGGGGAAAGCAGGCTCCTTGCTGAGCAGGGAGCCAGATGTGGGGCTCGATCCCAGGACCCTGAGATCATGACCTGAGCTGAAGGCAGAGGCTTTACCCACTGAGCCACCCAGGTGCCCCCATTATCATTATTTTTTTTTTAATTTTAGATTTGAGTATGTTTTACACACAATGTCACACAAGTCCAGGTTCATGGCACAATGATTCACTTTATACCTTATGTTGGGCTTACCCCAAGTGTAGCTCCCATCTGTCACCATAAACACTATTACAATGATTCTATTCCTCTCATGCCTTTCATCCCCATGATTTACTCATCGCACAATTGGAAGCCTGTGTCTCCCCTTTGCCCATTTTGCCCTTCCTCAACATCCTTCCCTCTGGCAACCATCTGTTTGTCCTCTGTGTTTATAGGTCTGATTCTGCTTTTCATTTGTTTATTCATTTGTTTTGTTTTTGAGGATCCACATGTCAGTGTATCATATGGTTATTTGTTATTTCTTATTCTTACTTATTTCACTTAGCATAGCACCCTCGAGGTTCATCCATATTGTCACGAATGGCAAGATCTCATCCTTTTTTGTGGTTGAATAATATTCCAGTATATAATATAGAATTACATCTATCAGTGGGCATTTGAGTTACTTCCATATCTTGGGTATTGTAAATAATGCTGCTAAAAACATAAGGGTGCATATAGCTTTTTGAATTAGTATTTTCGTATTCTTCAGTAATTTTAATAGTGGAATAGTGGAATTTTTTTTTTTTTTAAAGATTTTATTTATTTATTTGACAGATAGAGATCACAAGTAGACAGAGAGGCGGGCAGAGAGAGAGAGGAGGAGGCAGGTTCCCTGCTGAGCAGAGAGCCCGATGTGGGGCTCGATCCCAGGACACTGGGACCATGACCTGAGCCGAAGGCAGAGGCTTTAACCCACTGAGCCACCCAGGCGCCCCAAATAGTGGAATAGTGGAATTTAATAGTGGAATCGTCAGGAAGCCCTGTTTTTAATTTTTTTGAAGAACCTCCATATTGTTTTCCACAGTGGCTGCACCAGTTTGGATTCCCACCAACAGATCATGAGGGTTCCTTTTTCTCCACATCTTCACCAGCACTTGCTATTTTTTTTTTTTTTATTTAAGCCATTCTGACAGGTGAGAGGTTAGATCTCATTGTAATTTTGATTTGCATTTCTGTGCTGATGAATGATTTAGAACATCTTTTCGTGTGTATCTGGCCATCTGTGTCTCTTTGGCAAGTGACTGTTCATGTCTCCTGCACATTTTTAATTAAGTTGTTTGGGGGGTTTTTTGGTGTTAAGTTGCTTAAGTTCTTGATATATTTTGGATACTGTCTAACCCTTAATTGATTATGTCTTCTGCAAACATCTTCTTCCATTCAGTAGGTTGTCTTTTAGTTTTGTTTATCCTTTCCTTTGTTTTTGCAGAAGGTTTTGTTTTGATGTAGTCCTGATAGTTTATTTTTGCTTTTGTTTAACTTGCCTCAGGAGACATATCCAGAAAAAAATGTTGCTACAGTCAATGTCAGAGAAATTATTGTCTGTGCTCTTTTCTAGGATTTTTATGATTTCAGGTCTCACATTTAAATCTTTAATCGATTTTTATTTTATTTTCATATATGGTATAAGAATGTAGTCCAGTTTTCCCAATACCATTTGTTGAATAGACTTTTTTCCATTGAATATTCTTTTTCTTAAAGATTTATTTACTTTAGAGAAAGAGAGAGAGCACACAAGCAGAGAGAGGGACAGAAATCATCAAGCTGATTCCCCTCTGAGCACAGAGCCCAAATCAGGGCTCAGTCCCAGGACCCTGAGATCATGATCTGAGCCAAAACCAAGAGTCAGATGCTTAACCAACTGAGCCAGCCATGTTCCCCACCCATTGCATATTCTTGCCTCCTTGGTCAAAAATTAATTGACCATATAACAATGGTTTATTTCTGGGCTCTTTATTCTGTTCCATTGATCTATGTTTTTGTGACAGTACTATACTGTTTTGATTTTGATAGCTTTGTATGGTATATTTTGAAATCTGGGATTGGAATGCCTCCAGTTTTGTTCTTCTTTTTTAAGAGTGCTTTAGCTATTTGAGGTCTTTTCTGCTTCCTTACTCATTTTGTGATTGTTTGTTCTCGTTTGGTGAAAAATATTTTTGGTGTTTTGAGAGAGAGTGTATGAAATTTGTAGTTTGTTGGTAGTATGGAAATTTTAATAATATTTATTCTCCCAATCCATGAGCATAGAATACCTTTCCATTTGTGTCACCTTCAGTTGCTTTCATCAGTGTTATAGTTTCCAGAGTATTCCTAGGTATTTTATTGTTTTTGGTGCAGTTGAGAATGGGACTGTTCTCTTTGTTTCTCTTTCTGCTATTTCATTATTAATATATAGAAATACAAAGGATTTCTGTATATTAATTTTGTATTCTGAGACCTTATTGAATTCATTTATCAGTTCTAGTAGTATTTTGCTGCAGTTTTTAGGGTTCTATATATAATATCAAGTCATTTGAAAATAGTGGAAGTTTTACTTGTTCCTTACCAATTTGGTTACTTTTATTTATTTTTTCTTGTCTACTTGCTGTGGTTGGGACTTCTAGTTCCATGTTGAATAGAAGTGGTGAGAGTGGACATTCTTGTTCTTATTCCTGATTTTAGGGGGAAAGCTCTCAGTTTGTGGTTTATATTTTTATATCTCAGGGATGGTTTATATTTTTAAAGATAACTTCAATAGAAGCAGAAAGTCAATTAAGAGTCCACTGCAGGAAACAAGTGCATAGAGATGAGAATAATCTACATCAGGCATGCATTCATTGAGCTATTAGCAGGACTTCAGGATGGTTTGGTTGTAGAGTCCAAGAGAAAGAGAAGGGTCAATGGCCACCTCTAGGCTTTCAGATGGACCAACTTGGTAAAAGGTAGGGCCATTGATCTAGTGTGGAAAAGGTGCACTTTTGGGAGAGGAAATCAGGATGCTGGTTTGGGATATGCTGAGTTAAAAACAGAACATCTAAGCTGACCATTATATACATATATTACTTTGGAGTTTAAAGGAGGAGTGTAGCTGGAATGTAAATGGGAATTATAAACACATAGAAGTTGTTTAGAGGCACAAGACTGGAAGAAATTGCAGAAGCTGAAAATAGAGGTAGAGAAGGTAGATATTCCTGTGACTGAGTCTTGGGAGTGCTTTCCTCCATGGTGTCGGTTCAGGTTTGTGATCAAATCTACCACATACCAGCTCTGTGCCCAAACTCTTTACTTGACCTGAGGGGTGACTTATGCACAGAGAAGATTATGTAATTCCAGTGTCACTTTATGTAATTCAAAATAAGACCAAAGTAAACCCTAATGTAAGTAAGTCAGTTTTGACTATTTTTTGTAGTCTTTAAAAATGTATCAAATATTAATTTCTTTTTTTAAATGATTTTTTTTAAATTTAACTTTATTTTTTCAGTGTTCCAAGAGATTTAATATCCCAATTTATCTTGTTCTATATCTGGGACAATTCCACATCCTTTAACTCCCTATAAGCCTCAAGTTCATTAACTAAAAATAAAAAATGGACGGTTGAATCTACATGTATCATCTTTAGTATAGTTCTTGGACATAATAAGCATTCAACAAATGTTAGCTATCATTATTTTACTATTATTACTATCATCATCATCATTAGTAATGTTTTCCTAAAGGATTGTTGTGAGGACTAATTTATTTATGAAAAAAACCCACAAAACTAGCATGTTTAACAGCACAGAGCAGCTGGTAAATGGTTTTGTCTCCTCCACTTCCATACCCATCCCTCCACTTTACAACAGACCTCCATGCTCCATCATTCTCTTAGTGTCAGAGTTCAAATAAGCACGATAAAAGAACACCATTTTTAATTGTCTCAGAAGGTAAAAGAGTAAGCAGACATGGGGTTTAGGTCAGGTGAGATTCCTATAATTAAAGGACAGTGGAAGAGAAGACACCCAAAGCAACATTAATTTATTCTGTCACAGAAATAATTTTCAATAACAGGTAGTGAAGATACTTCATTGATTCAGGGGCAGTCATCCAAAATAAACAGAGATTCTGCTGTATTCCAGACCTCGAAGTGTGAGTGCTAAATACAATTTTTCACTTCTAGAAGGCCATGCATTTTATACATCGGTTTGCCGCCATCAATACCCTTTGTTTTCATTTTGCAAAAGTGAATTAATAATATATGATCTCATTTTAGGGATTGCCCGCAAGTCGTGTGAGGTACAGAGTAGATGATGCCCAGTTTCCTTATCCTGCCAGTATTTTTGACGTAGAAGAAGATTCTGGAAGAGTAATAACTCGAGTCAATCTTAACGAAGAGCCTACAACAATTTTTAAGGTCAGTGCAGTGTTTTCCTTACCATTATCTGTTTGATATTTAACTTCTGAGAGTACAGTTTAACAGATGACCATACATGTTTCCATTTTTCTCCTTTCAATTTTTTTTAAAATTACAAAATAATATATATTTTACCAGGAATATACTTAGAAAATATAGTTAAGCAGAAAGAAAAAAAAAAAAAAAAACCACCACACACAGAATTGATATTTCACATTTTGTGGATAACTAGAATTGAGCAGTTTAATATCTATCCTTATGATGACATTCCATATGAATTCAAGTATACACGTGTGTGTTTGACACTAATATGATCCTATTATTCATACTGCTTTTTTTAACTGAGTAATATATTGCCCATGACAGTAAATACTGTTAATGGTATTATTTTAATGGTTGAATGATGTTCTATTTTATGAATGTGCTATTATTTTTTTGTCTTACACTTTGTTGTTGGATTTGATGTTTCTAGTTTTTTATTGTAATAATATTTGCTGTTGTGAAACTCCTTGCACAAATATTATTTGCCACCTCCTTGATTTTCTTTTTCCTTAAGATAAGTACTGAGAGGCAAGATTATTGGGTCAAGTTTATGTACTCATGATAAGTTCTACTTCAGGAAAATTTGAAACATTACTACCCTTCATTATTATCATAAATAATTGTTTTATTAAATGTTTGAGTGTTTCCATTTTTGTAATTCCTTGGAATAATTTTTTCATTGTGTATAAAACCTTTGACCCTCCATTGTGGAAATGCCTTCATTGGTTAACCTCGCGTGTGTCAATGAGTACTACACCTCACATAATCCTAGCACTGTTGGGAGCAATTGTTCTCTTGGTTCAGTGTTAACCCAAGGGTAAAACATGGGCCCAAGGATGATCCTTAATTATGGTTTCGTCTAGGTTGAACTGGTTTAAATTAGTAGCCTGCAGGTTCCAAAATGACAGATATTCCAGAGAAACACATAATATTGAAAATATTTAACATTTCTTAAATAGAAGCATTCTTGATATAATATACATTATCCAAAAAAGAGCAATAATAAACAATGCTGTAGTAATAAATATTATTACTTGAGACATCTTGAGATGAAAGCTTTTCTGCAGTTTTCATCATTTGAACAGTTTCTACTATATGGTATGAACTTGGTTTTACATGTTTTTAAGAGAGTGTATCTCCAACTCTGTTAAACTGTAAAGATTTCCAGTTTTATCCTCCAGAGTGAAGTATTTCTGCCCTGTAATCTTGCAGACAATTAATTCATGGGAAAAATCAATTTCTTTTTTGTAAGGAAACTAATTAGCTTTTTGCTATGAATGTGACTGAATTTAACACTTTTTAAATAAGTGTCGGTGCTCATAATGGCCCATGTTTTTGCTGTGGGCACCAGTGGGACTGTGGGAGAGAAATCAGTTTAATCATTGGAGAGATGTAGTATCACATACCTGTTTTACTGGAGTGTTTTATCATAGCGTTAGTAATTCCACTTCAAGTTTTCTTGTCTAGGAAATTAAAAAAAGAAAGAAAAAGAAAGAAAGAAAGAAAGAAAGAAAGAAAGAAAGAAAGAAAGAAAGAAAGAAAGAAAGAAAACACCCAACTGGTGGGATTGTTGTGAAGAGCAAGTGAGAAGATAGGTAACATACCCCAGCAGTCCAGTACCTGCTCTATGGAAGAGAGTGAGAAAGTGATCATTGCTCCTCCTCCTGGAGCCAGGCAGTCCAGTGATTAAAAATGATGTTTTATTTGCTTCTTGCTAATCCTCTTTAACATGAATCTTTTTTACTTTTTAAGTTGGTAGTTGTTGCTTTTGATGAGGGTGAACCTGTGATGTCCAGCAGCGCCACAGTGAAAATTCTCGTCTTACATCCTGGAGAAATTCCACGCTTCACGCAAGAGGAATATAGGTACTGATTTCTATCTGTTTTTGTAAAATGTGTAAAGGTTTTTGTGTTGCTCTGTTTTGGCCTTTCAAAACTGAGGTGATTTGAATTGATCAATGACATGACCTTCTAGTTCTCATTTAAGTTTTTCTTAAATTAGCTAAATATTACATTTGTTTTTAATGGTAATATAGTAAAAATGATAATTTAGTCTAAAAATATCAGTTTAGTAATGCTTTCATGAATAATGGAGCCTTTAAAAATAATTAATGTGTTGGGGCACCTGGATGGCTCAGTTAAGCATCCAATTCTTTTTTTTTTTTTTAAAGATTTTATTTATTTATTTGGCAGACAAAGATCAGAAGTAGGCATCGAGGCAGGCAGAGAGAGAGGAGGAAGCAGGCTCCCCGCTGAGCAGAGAGCCCAATGTAGGGCTCGATCCCAGCACCCTGGGACTGTGACCTGAGCCAAAGGCAGAGGCTTTAACCCACTGAGCCACCCAGGCACCCAAGTATCCAATTCTTGATCTAGGCTAAGGTCATGATCTCAGCATGGTGAGATCGAACCCTTCGTCAGGCTCTGTGCTCAGCATGGAGTCTGCTTGTCCCCTCTCCATCTCCCTGCTGGCTTCCTCTCTCTGTCTTTCTCTCAAATAAATAAATAAATAAATAAAATTTTGAAAAAAAATGCAGTCTTTGAAAAATACATTATATTTTGGGGTTTAAACTGCAACTAATTATTAATCTCAATAGCGAGAAGTAGTAAACATTTCATTTCTTGTTATTGCCAGATAGATACATAATTTGACACAAATCTACAATGATTTTTTCTCATATAATCAGCGAAAGAGAAAGAGAGAATGTATGTGTTTATGGGTATGATATATATTATGTATTATAGATATAGAGCTAGTGTATATACTGTCTTAAGTCAGGCTGCCATAACAAAATCCCACAGACCAGGTGACTCCAATGGAAATTTGTTTTCTCACAGTTCCAGAGGCTGAAAGCCTGAGGTCAGGGCACCAGCACAGTTGGGTTGTGGTGAGAGCCTTCTTCCTGGCTTGTGGACAGCTGTGTCCCTGTTGAGTCCTCATGAAACAAAGCAAGCTCCCTGGTATCTCTTCATATAAGGGTGCCCATCCGAAGATTAGCCCCCGCCATGACCTTATCCAAACCTAATTACCTCTCAAAGGCCTCATATTTGAATACTATGCCATTGAGGGTTAAAGGCTTCAACATATTGATTTTAGGGGGACACAGTTCAGTCCAAGCACGTGTATAGATACATAGATAGATAGATAGACAGATAGATATTCTTAGGAAGTGTAGAATTGATTTAAAAAATAATAAAATTAAATGTACTGTATTTTATGATTGCTTCATGATTGCATATGAGTGAAAAATTTTATAATGCTTTCCTGAAAAATATAGAACTTTCTTTCATGATATTGTTTTAAGTGAAAACATGAATGTACATGTATTCGAATGTTCAAACCCATAAGAGATAGTTTCCCACACATATTTGAAGGAGACTCGCCACATACTACAGATTTACCATTTCCTTATTCTGGACATAGCATTAAACGGCATCCTGTCCTGGAGCTCCAGGGATTCACAGCCACACATGCAAACTAAACATTGTATGAACAACACAATATAGTGTGAAGACACAATGATAGATCAGTTCTGAACAAGTGTGTTGGGAAAATACCTTACTAGATTTAAACACACAGTTTTAAGTTGTGTCTTGAGAAAAAAATACAGCTTAACCACTCCACAAAAATATGAAAGGATGTTCCATGCTGAAGAATTAGCGTACATACACATATGAATAAACAATATGGGAGGATGTATTGATTTCCAAGATATTTTGGTAGTTTAGTCTATGTAGAGACAAAGTAGACATTATGTAATGTTATTTGAGGCTCAAGAAAAATGAAGATTTCACATAATACTTGATCATATTCTAAAATGTGGATTTTTATTGTTTTGATAACTGTGGTGTTTGTTTTTTTTAAAGATTTTATTTATTTATTTATTTGACAGACAGAGATCACAAGTAGGCAGAGAGGCAGGCAGAGAGAGTGGAGGAAGCAGGCTGCCCGCTGAGCAGAGAGCCCCATGTGGGGCTTGATCCCAGGACCCTGAGATCATGACCTGAGCCGAAGGCAGAGGCTTTAACCCACTGAGCCACCCAGGTGCGCCAATTGTGGTGTTTTTGTTTTTGTTTTGCTTTGATAATTTCTAAGAACTTACTAAAAATTGTAAGTTTCAAAGCAAGGACAAAGCTATGGAGAGAGGAGGCAGGTGATGTGTCTGGGAACATTTACTACACTGAACCAAGCAATGTTTTCCTTTTATAAAATGCTGCCTTGGGCACTTGGGTAGCTCAGTTGGTTAAGCATCCCACTCTTGGTTTCAGGTTAGTTCTTGATCTAAGGGTGGTGATTTCAGGGTTGTGGGATTGAGCCCTGCATTGGGCTCCATGCTCTGTGGGGAGTCTGCTTGAGATTCTCTCCCTCTGCCCCTCCCCCTGCTCATGCACTCTCTCTGTCTCTCTAAAATAAATAAAACCTTTAAAGAAAAACTTCCTTTGCAATAGTCAAGCAATAAATGGATGTAATTTTACCAAAAAATTCTACGTAACACATATGTAAACCACTGAGATGTAAACTCTATTTAAAACAGTGAGAATTCCTGGTCAGTCTGTTTGAAAGGCCCTTTTCTTCCTTCTGTCCATTGTTACCAATACCTTCCTCTTTGGCCGACATGGAAACCTGTGAACCCCAGTTCTTTGCTATGGGACATGCAGTTTTCTGCTTCTAGAGACCTTCCCTGGATGTGTTCATGGTCCCTGGATGTGTTCATGGCTTCTCAGGAACCAGAATGAACATAAACTCCCTGTGTTTCTCACCGTCTTACCTGGATTTGATGCTCACAAAAAATGTACTTACTATTTGGGGTGGGTCCAGGAATCCCTCAGATCTTCAGCTGAACAGAATTCTGCTCATCCCGTACAGTCCTTCGTCGGAAGCCCCAAAGAGAGAGAATAAACACAGTAAATGCTGTCCCCTTTCTCCTGGCTTTCATGAGCAGCTCATTTCCTATTATTAGCTGTAAGCCTCCAGACTTCTGTAGCACGTTGCTTATTAACTCTTTTAGCTAAAATACTGTGGCATTCAGGCCAAGGTCATAGATCTCATCAGGGCATTGCTCATTTAGCTTTCTTTTTAAAATTGCCTTTATTTATGCCACTTTTAAAAATAAAAATGTTTTGTTCAATGAATAATTTACCATTTCTTACCTTCTCTGCAAAGAACTATGAACTACAAATAGATTCTATTAATAAAGTTGTTAACTTAGAGAAGAAAAGAAAACTGCCAATTACTTGGTGCTAAAATTAAGAGGAGTCGCAGGAGCACCTGGGGAAGAATTTTCTGACCTTCCAGAAAAACATTTCTAACATTTGCAAATAGTGCCCTTGACTGTTCTGGTCCATTTGTTACTCTGATACATAAAGGCAATTTGGTATCCTTGTTGCATCTTACAGTTTATGAAGAAAGTCCTCAGAATTGACTTAATTGGCATAATGGATTCAGTAGGACTTAGGCATTGAACAGGATTGTTTTCTTTTTTATAAGATCCTTAGAAAACTTGAATAATAAAAAAGTCATATCAAACACTGGCAGAACACACTCTATTTTGAATAAGTCCCAATAATTCAATTTAAATGTTCAAGGAAGTTTACATTTGACCTGAAGTATGGAATGAACTATTTAAAAAAAAAAAAAAAGATAAGAGACCTAAGGCTGATCTTCATTACCTCTCCTTGCTCTTGGAGATTTTTGACATATATACCAGAGTCTGGATGCCTCCCGCTCCTTTCTTCGTCCTCCTGGACATGTAGCTAGATTCCATTCCCCAGCCTTGCTTGCTAGATAGAGCCATGGGACTGAGTTCTGAACAATAAAATGGGGAACACGACAGTCTGCACTGTTCCCTGGCCTGATTTAACCTTTCCCTGTATGGACAGGTGAAATGGAAAACACACCAAGAGACCCTTGGGAGCCATATGTTGACAACTGTAGGAATGTGAGAGGAGCCCAGGCCTCTGAATCAAAGATTGGGAGAGTGCTACCTAACTAGGAATGTCCTAAATATACATAATTTTTTTTTCAAAATCATTTAATGCTTCGGCTAAATACACATAAATCCCAGAGATGCTGCATATGTTATGAGACCTCAATCCCCTTGTGCTGGAGTCCAAGGGTGGCAGAATATGCCACTTGGGCATAAGGAGTATTTTGAGCTGAAAGTGCTTACAAACACAACAGCTATAAGAAGGACATTCTGATCTACCCTTTTCCTCCCAAAAGCAGGACCTATAAACTCATGTGAAAAATGCTTTCTCTGTACCAGGAGGAAAAACACATTCTTTAATGAGGAGTCAAAGCCAAGAGAAGCGATACAGACAGGCCTTGTTAAAACAATTCACAGCTCACTTCAGCCTCCTTCTATAGTTTACTTTTCCACAATGGCCTGTCTCTGTTCATCCTAATACAAAAGTATGAAGGTTTTGCCATTTCTCTGGCTCTTCATTTTCTCACAAGGGCCCTCCTGTCACATATAACTTATATAAACATAATCTTTTCTCCTACTCATCTGACCTATGTCAGTTTAATACTTAGACCCAGTCTAAAAACCCTGAAAGGGTTGAGGTGAAGTTTTACTTCCATTACAAAATTGCTCCTGGTGGAAAAACTTTCTCATGGGATCAGTCTGGGGGCATAGAGGACACCAAGCGATAAGATTTCTGTCCTTGTTGTGGTTGGAAAATGCTCATGGGTTGCAGATGGAAAGCAGAGATCCACGGTAAGGGATCTATGACAAGCTGAGATACATATGTTCATATCTTGGGAATACCTTCATTCCAATAACGACTCTTGAAATCCTTAGGAAAAACTGGTTTTCATCAAATGACGAGGTGTGAAGAAAGCCTCTAAAGATAAAATATTCATTCAT